CGTTCGGGGCTGAAGCCCGGGCCTAGGACTCACCCCCAGCGTCCCGCCTGGCCTTCCTTCCCGGCTGGCCCCTCTGTCATTTTGACCCCGGATTTCTCTCGCCCCCCCTCGTCTCGCCCCCTTCGCAGCGCCCGTGTCCGGGGCTGGGGGAAGGGAGGGGCGTGTGGAGTGGGGCCGAGGCCCGAGGGACTGTGTGGGAGCTTGGCTCTGGTCGGGGGGTCTGAGGTCCTGTGAGCCCTCGCTCGCCCTGGCGTCCCCAGAAGTTGGCCACTGGGGCTCAGCCGTTGCCACCTGAAACCAGTTCTGCACCTTTTGTTTTGCTTTTGAACTTGTCGTTTCAGGGGAGGAGGGAACCTGCTGTCTTGGGATCGGGAGCAGAGGTAGAGCCAGGTGGGCAGCTGGGCTGTCCGGTTTCCTTTCCTTTTGGAAAGGAAAATGGGCGTGTCTTCCCCGAAGGGCCGGAAACCCTTTTACAGCTTGCGACCCTCCCCCCCCCTTTCCATCCCCCTTTTCAGCTTTAGCAAAGCTGCGTGTAGTTCTTGCCCAGCGGTTTGGTTCATTCCTTAGCAACATTGATGGAGAGGATGCCCCGGTGAATCTGCAGCAGAGTTTCTTGAAGCAGCCCAGCCCCCTTGAGCTGTTGGCCAATCGCCCCCCCGCCCCCCTTTTTTTGGTGACACCTTGCACAGTAGTCTTGGTAGATCCTCACCCAGTGCTTTTGTAGGCTGCCTTTTCAACCTGACTTGCCATAGAGCAGTGGTTCTCAACCTTGGCTGCACATCTGGGCCCAGAAGTCAGGATTTTAAAAAGATTCCCAGGTGATTCTAATGTGCAGCCAAGATTGAGAACCACTGTCATAGAGGAAAGGAAGGTGAACACATAGACACTAATCCAAAATGGATGCTCTTAAGTCAAAAGAGGTACCTGTACCATAAGCATCTCTATGAAAGGTCTGAATTCCTAAATTAGTTAATTATTAAAAAAAAAAAAAAGTCACCCAGGGCTTAAAAAGCAGGTAGCTGCTTTAAAATAAAATGCAACTTTGATTTATTTATGCTTTCTGACCAGTATTTTAAAATTTGGAATTGATTGGTTAACTAAATCCTTGTCTTTGAAGTACCCGTGTATAGACATTGTTACAAAGCCTGGAGGAAAGAAACTTATGAAAATGTTAGATGTGTTACAGACAAGATTCCTTCAGGAGGTGGATACAGTTTTTTTCCTCCACTGTATATTAGAAGAGTGAGACTCCACTGGGTGAAAAAGGTGAAGGGATAAGAAGTACAAATTGGTAGTTACGAAATAGTTACAGGGGAGTAAAGTTCAGCATAGGGAGTATAATCAATACTGTTGTAATAACTATGGTGTCAGGTGGATAATTGAATTATCAGGGGATCACTGTGTAAATTATATAATTGTTGAACTACTATGCTTGTATACCTGGAACTAAACCTATATAATAAAGGCCTAATATGCTAAGTGTCCGGTTGTCTGTTCAACCAATCAAAGCGTAATATGCTAATGATATGCTAAGGCCGCTTAACTGCTCACTATGACGTGCACTGACCACCAGGGGGCTGACGCTCCGACTGGTAGGCTAGCTTGCTGCTGGGGTCCAGCTGACTGGGACTGAGCAAGACAGGCCGGACACGCCCTGTAGCCCTTCCATGGTCCCTCCCCGGCTGGCCAACCTCCCACATCCCTCCCTGGCCCCAATCGTGCACCGGTGGGGTCCCTCGGCCTGGCCTGCGCCCTCTTGCAATCTGGTACCACCCCTCGCATGAGACCCCCTCGAGGGATGTTGTAGAGCGGTTTTGGCCCGATTCCCGCAGGCCAGGCTGAGGGACCCCCCACTGGTGCATAAATTTGTGCATGGGGCCTCTAGTATAAAATAATATTGAATGTCAACTGTAATTGAAAAATAAAATTTAAAAAAGTGAAACTTTGTGAGTAGGTGGTAGTTTTACTAGTGTCATGTAACAAAAGATGCCTATAGTTATGATTTTAGCTTAACAATACCTTGTCCTCTACCAACAGAGTTGGCTTGTATTTTTTTGAAATCACACACCCACTCTCTGGCTAGTATGGAAAGATTAAAAAGCTGCTTCTGGTCTGTGGGCGGTAACCTTTTAATTTCTAAAGAGTTTTCAGCTGTTTACAGAGTAGAGTGCTAATCAGCAGCATAGCAAAATTTTAGATCTTAAAAATTCATTAGTATGTGATCTAGATCTGTTATAATTATGAACATTTATTAAGATTTGGCGTGGTATGGGTACCCTGTACTATGTGTCTGAAATGAGATTTCTCAGTATTTGCATCTTAAGATAAACGGAAGTACAGTCAGCTGACAGAACGTTGTGACACTTTGAAGTAGTAGAGAGAATCTTTTATGAGCACACACACACAAACTACAGTTTGATGAAGAACCCAGTGATCTGGAGGAGTTGGTGACCACCGTTACTCTAAGCCAGTGGTCGGCAAACTGCGGCCCCTTGAGTGTGGCTCTTCCACAAAATACCACATGCGGGTGCGCACGTACAGTGTGATTGAAACTTCGTGGCCACACTCAAGGGGTCAAAGGGCCGCATGTGGCTCGCGAGCCGCAGTTTGCCGACCACTGCTCTAAGCTGTTTTGTACAAGAATATTTCTCCTTTTCTGTAAGAGTTTTTTATGCCTGTCTTCCATGTACAAAACCTGTCCTGGCTGAGGACTTAAGTTTAAACTCGATGTGGCATTTATGTATCGCTCATTAATCATAAAATACTTACTGAGCTCTTAATTTGTTCCAGGATTTCTTCTAAGGACTGGGCTACAATGAGGTATCAAAGCAGACAAAGTCCTGCCCTCATTGAGCTTTATTCTGTGTATGTCAGAATGAGGATTACAATAAGCAAATAGACAAGATAATTTCAGATAATGCTAAAAATCAGCGATTAGCAAACTTTTTTTGTAAAGGGCCAGAAAATAAATATTTATGGGCTATATGGTCTCTGTTGCAGCTACTCAACTCTGTTATTTTAGTGTGGAAATGGTCACAGGCAGTACATAAACAAACTTGTCTGTCCTACTTAAACTTGGGACACTGAAATTTGAATTTCATATAATTTTCCCATGTCACAAAATATTCCTTTTGATTTTTTTTTCAACCATTTAAAAATGTAAAAAACATTCTTACCTCATAGGCCATACAAAATCTTGGGGCAAACTGGATTTGGCCTGTGGGCTGTAATCTGACCCTTTGTAGAAAAAGTTTCCTGCCCTGGCCAGTGTGGTTCAGTTGTTTGGGTGTTGTCCTGTGCACTGAAAGGTCGCCAGTGTGATTTCTGGTCAAGGCAACATACCCAGTTTGTGGGTTTGATCCCTGGTTGGGGTTCGTACAGGAATCACCAATCGATGTTTCTCCCATCGATGTTTCTCTCTCCCTCTTCTCTCTCTGAAATCAATAAAAATATATATTTAAAAAAAAGAAAGAAAAAGTTTTCTCCTCACTAAGGAGAAGATATTTGATGCAAGAGTTTTCCTAGCAGATGAAACAGAAAGTGCAAAGATCTGCAGGTGGAAATGAGCTTCTCCTATGTTCCCCTGCATTGAAGTTCTCCACATACCATGTCATTCTTGCCTTTGTGTCTTTTTTCATTGTGTTGTTCTTAACTAAGTTGTTCTCTTCCTGTCAGATTTTTAAAGTCCACACGTTATAGAATCTAAGACTTGGAAGAGATCTTAAATCTTAACTTCATACCCAATTGCTTTCCTAAAATGTTCTCAGTGATTTTTTAGCCTGTTTGAACACCTTTTATGACAGAAAATTCATTACTTTGAGGTAGCCTATGCCATTTTCAGATGGCTCTAATTGTTAGAGTGTTCTTCATGTTGTAATAGGATTCATCCTTTCTCTCCTTTCCATGGTGCTGCCTTACATGGAGTAAGCCTGCACTGGGATTGCACCTCATTCCCAGGATTCGGTTCTAAAGTCACTGCATGAGACAAAAATCACATAAGATGAAAGCTATAGTTGAAAATTCCTTACATTGTATAGTGTGCATGTTTTTGTATACTGTATATAATTGTATGTCATTCTTATGCATGCTACAGACTGAGAGCCACCGAGCTTGACTGCAGGAAGGAGCAAGAGGAAATAAATTATTATATAGATATGTAGGCCTTCAAACATTTTTGCTTTTTAAAACAGCTGTCAAATCCCTATCAGAGTGGGGGAGGGTAGATAATTTTAATGTGTTCCTGCTTCCTTGCAGGGTTTATTTTATTGTATTTTTACATTAAGCCTTTATTACATTAATGTTTATAGATATATTATGAATATTAAATGAGATAATATGTAAGGAAGCACCTGGCACATGGTTAATAAATGCAGGATTTGAATCTAAATTTTTGCTTCATTGGGCTCATATTCACACTGTCCTTTGAAAAGTTATAGAGAAGAACTAGGCCACCTGCTTCCTGTCTTTCCAAATAGGCATTTCCTGTTGTGGCTCTACTGAACATCTGTCACTCTCTATGTCCTAGAGTGTTGGTCACATTTTACCAGAGGTCAGCTAGTAAGTTAAATGGGTATATGATCTCTCAGTTCTGCTACATGACCCTTCAAATATTTGAACACTGCTATTATGTATCTGAAGTCTTCACTTTACTCAGGGCTCATTTCTTTTTCTTTGTTTTGTTAATTCTCACCCAAGGATATTTTTTTCCCCATTGATCTTTCCTTTTTTTTTTCTTTTTAAAATATATTTTTATTGTTTTCAAGAGGAAGGGAAAGGGAGAGAGAGATAGAAACATTAATGATGAGAGAGAATCATTGATCGGCTGCCTTATGCACGCCTCCTACTGGGCATCAAGCCCGCAACCCCGGCATGTGCCCTTGACCAGAATCAAACCCGGGACCCTTCAGTCTGAAGGCCGAACGCTCTATCCACTGAGCCAAACCAGCTAGGGCTGATTTATAAAAACACACATTATTATTGATTTCAGAGAGGAAGGGAGAGGGAGAGAGAGATAGTAACATCAATGATGAGAGACAATCATTGATCGGCTGCCTCCTACATACCCCTCACTGGGGCTCGAGCCCGCAACCCAGCACGTGCCCTGACTGGGAATCAAACAGTGATCTCCTGGTTCTTATGTTGATGCTCAACCACTGGGCCACGCTGGCCAGGCCTGACTTCCCTTGATTTTAATGGCATTGGTAATTTTGAAAATAACTGATCAGGCATTTTTGTACAGTGTCCTTCAATTGGGATTTGTCTGATGTTTTTCTATGGGGTAGATTGATATAATGTGATTTAGAAAGGAAGACCACAGAGTTAAAGTGTCATTCTTATCACATATCACGAGTACATATTATTGATACGACTTATCCGTGTTATCTGATAAGTCGTATCAACTTACCAGTATTAATGTTAACCTTGATCATCTAGGTCAGGGGTGGGCAACCCCTGGCATGCGTGCCAAACATGGCACGCCAGTAACTTTTGCTGGCACGCGAAACCCTCTCATAATCTTCCATTTACAATTTTTTTCTTAATGTCGACTTTTTTATTTTTCAGATAAATTCAGTGTAGGTGCATCTTAGATGAATAAATAATTTTACATAACAAGTTATCTTAAAGACCATAGACATGGCTGACTTTGAAATGCAGTTGATTGAATTTCAGAGTAGCTCAATTTGGAAGCAGAAATTTATTGACCTTAGAGTTGACTTGGAAAACATTGAAAAAAAGCGATTAGAGACAGGAGTTATAATTTTCCCATGTCACAAAATATTCCTTTTGATTTTTTTTTCAACCATTTAAAAATGTAAAAAACATTCTTACCTCATAGGCCATACAAAATCTTGGGGCAAACTGGATTTGGCCTGTGGGCTGTAATCTGACCCTTTGTAGAAAAAGTTTCCTGCCCTGGCCAGTGTGGCTCAGTTGTTTGGGTGTTGTCCTGTGCACTGAAAGGTCGCCAGTGTGATTTCTGGTCAAGGCAACATACCCAGTTTGTGGGTTTGATCCCTGGTTGGGGTTCGTACAGGAATCACCAATCGATGTTTCTCCCATCGATGTTTCTCTCTCCCTCTTCTCTCTCTGAAATCAATAAAAATATATATTTAAAAAAAAGAAAGAAAAAGTTTTCTCCTCACTAAGGAGAAGATATTTGATGCAAGAGTTTTCCTAGCAGATGAAACAGAAAGTGCAAAGATCTGCAGGTGGAAATGAGCTTCTCCTATGTTCCCCTGCATTGAAGTTCTCCACATACCATGTCATTCTTGCCTTTGTGTCTTTTTTCATTGTGTTGTTCTTAACTAAGTTGTTCTCTTCCTGTCAGATTTTTAAAGTCCACACGTTATAGAATCTAAGACTTGGAAGAGATCTTAAATCTTAACTTCATACCCAATTGCTTTCCTAAAATGTTCTCAGTGATTTTTTAGCCTGTTTGAACACCTTTTATGACAGAAAATTCATTACTTTGAGGTAGCCTATGCCATTTTCAGATGGCTCTAATTGTTAGAGTGTTCTTCATGTTGTAATAGGATTCATCCTTTCTCTCCTTTCCATGGTGCTGCCTTACATGGAGTAAGCCTGCACTGGGATTGCACCTCATTCCCAGGATTCGGTTCTAAAGTCACTGCATGAGACAAAAATCACATAAGATGAAAGCTATAGTTGAAAATTCCTTACATTGTATAGTGTGCATGTTTTTGTATACTGTATATAATTGTATGTCATTCTTATGCATGCTACAGACTGAGAGCCACCGAGCTTGACTGCAGGAAGGAGCAAGAGGAAATAAATTATTATATAGATATGTAGGCCTTCAAACATTTTTGCTTTTTAAAACAGCTGTCAAATCCCTATCAGAGTGGGGGAGGGTAGATAATTTTAATGTGTTCCTGCTTCCTTGCAGGGTTTATTTTATTGTATTTTTACATTAAGCCTTTATTACATTAATGTTTATAGATATATTATGAATATTAAATGAGATAATATGTAAGGAAGCACCTGGCACATGGTTAATAAATGCAGGATTTGAATCTAAATTTTTGCTTCATTGGGCTCATATTCACACTGTCCTTTGAAAAGTTATAGAGAAGAACTAGGCCACCTGCTTCCTGTCTTTCCAAATAGGCATTTCCTGTTGTGGCTCTACTGAACATCTGCCACTATGTCCTAGAGTGTTGGTCACATTTTACCAGAGGTCAGCTAGTAAGTTAAATGGGTATATGATCTCTCAGTTCTGCTACATGACCCTTCAAATATTTGAACACTGCTATTATGTATCTGAAGTCTTCACTTTACTCAGGGCTCATTTCTTTTTCTTTGTTTTGTTAATTCTCACCCAAGGATATTTTTTTCCCCATTGATCTTTCCTTTTTTTTTTCTTTTTAAAATATATTTTTATTGTTTTCAAGAGGAAGGGAAAGGGAGAGAGAGATAGAAACATTAATGATGAGAGAGAATCATTGATCGGCTGCCTTATGCACGCCTCCTACTGGGCATCAAGCCCGCAACCCCGGCATGTGCCCTTGACCAGAATCAAACCCGGGACCCTTCAGTCTGAAGGCCGAACGCTCTATCCACTGAGCCAAACCAGCTAGGGCTGATTTATAAAAACACACATTATTATTGATTTCAGAGAGGAAGGGAGAGGGAGAGAGAGATAGTAACATCAATGATGAGAGACAATCATTGATCGGCTGCCTCCTACATACCCCTCACTGGGGCTCGAGCCCGCAACCCAGCACGTGCCCTGACCGGGAATCAAACAGTGATCTCCTGGTTCTTATGTTGATGCTCAACCACTGGGCCACGCTGGCCAGGCCTGACTTCCCTTGATTTTAATGGCATTGGTAATTTTGAAAATAACTGATCAGGCATTTTTGTACAGTGTCCTTCAATTGGGATTTGTCTGATGTTTTTCTATGGGGTAGATTGATATAATGTGATTTAGAAAGGAAGACCACAGAGTTAAAGTGTCATTCTTATCACATATCACGAGTACATATTATTGATACGACTTATCCGTGTTATCTGATAAGTCGTATCAACTTACCAGTATTAATGTTAACCTTGATCATCTAGGTCAGGGGTGGGCAACCCCTGGCATGCGTGCCAAACATGGCACGCCAGTAACTTTTGCTGGCACGCGAAACCCTCTCATAATCTTCCATTTACAATTTTTTTCTTAATGTCGACTTTTTTATTTTTCAGATAAATTCAGTGTAGGTGCATCTTAGATGAATAAATAATTTTACATAACAAGTTATCTTAAAGACCATAGACATGGCTGACTTTGAAATGCAGTTGATTGAATTTCAGAGTAGCTCAATTTGGAAGCAGAAATTTATTGGAAGAGCAATTTCTATGCCTCTGCCTTAACTCTCCCTGCCTTCCTAGATCCGACCAGTGTTTTGGTTTCATCCACATATGCTTGTGAATCTTTGTTCTCAGTGATGAATTTTGTTAAGTCTCGTAATAGGAGTAGCCTGACGGATGAAAGTAGTAGCTCGTGCATATCTCTGAAGGTCACGAAATATAAACCTGATGTAAAATCTCTGTCATCAGTGATGCAGCAGCAAAAGTCCCACTGATAATATCAAACGGAGTCATAAAGTTTTCTGTCGGACTATCAGTGTACATGTATACATTAAAAAATAAATGTATTTTTCATCATCATATACTGTGTTTTTGTCGCTCGAATGAATTTTATTATTTCTTCAAGGTTCTTCACATACGTACACCTTAAGAGATATCAAGTAGGCGTAACATGTTCTCAAAAAATTAGGGTTGGCACGCAGAAGAATTTTGAGTCAGAGATTTTGCTGGTTTTGACACACACTCACAAAAAGGTTGCCCACCCCTGACCTAGGTTGAGGTAATGTTTGTTTTCTTCACTGTAATGTTACCCTTTTGTTCTTCCCTTTTTGTACTCTAGAAGAAAGTCACTATGCATAGCCCACATTTAATGAGTGATGAGTTATGCTTCACCTCCTTAAGAATGGAATCCTGCCCTGACTGGTTTGGCTCAGTGGATAGAGTGTCAGCCTGCAGATCCAAGGGTCTCAGGTTCGATTCCGGTCAAGGGCATATACCTTGGTTGCGGGCACATACCCAGTGGGGAGTGTGCAGGAGGCAGCTGATCGATGTTTCTCTCTCATTGATGTTTCTAACTCTCTATCCCTCTCCCTTCCTCTCTGTAAAAAATCAATAAAATATATATATTAAAAAAGAATGGAATCCTATCTAATAAAGACAGAATATGCAAATTGACCATCACACCATCACAAAGATGGTGGTGCCCATAGCCACAAGATGGTGGTGCCCAGTACCCTCAGCCCCGCTGGAGTTCCCCAGTCCTTTCAGCCCCCAGCTGCCCAGGGCCGCTCAAGGCTCAGGCAACCAGAGCTGGCCAAGGCTTGCGCTGCCGACAGTGGCAGCAGCAGAGGTGTGATGGGGGCGTCGCCTTCCCCTGATCGCCAGGTCGCCAGGACTGTGGAGGGGGCAGGCCGGGCTGAGGGATCCCCCCCCCCCTCAGTGTATGAATTTTCATGCACCTGGCCTCTAGTATCTATATAAATTTCTTTGCTCAAATTGTTCCAGCTTTGGTTATTGGGAGCTTTTTCAGTTGGCTCCTGTCTGTCTTTCCTTTGACATACTCTGATGATTGTATGTGAGCACTTTTCTGACAACATAAAATGTTTCAGGCTCATCCTTTATATATCATGCTCTAATCCTATAATTGATCATTTTTCCAAGGAGCCTAGTTCCTTTTATTGGAAACTAGTAGCCTGGTGCACGAAATTTGTGCACATCAAAAGGGAATTAATTAGAGGAATGTAATTTGGACTCACGATCTAATATTAATAATTTGTGAGCATGAGGCAATCCGCGTTTCTGAAATTCAGTGACGTGAATTTTAGCTATTACTTTGCCAAATAAATCGAATTTACAGATATCATTTAAAAGAGCATTCAGCTTAATATTAAAAACTCTGGCTACCAAGTCAGGTCTGTT